CTTAAAAATGTATCAATTTGTACATCATTTCCCCTCCCCCTCAAGCTAATTGTAAACCATTTACCAGCACTCCTGGCTAGGACCATAGATTAAGAATTATTAGTCTGGGGTTATGCCATACTACCTACCTTAGAATACCAGTGGCTGGACATGATGCTAAGAACTGGAAGGTCTTCAAGCAGGCTTACTCATTTTGCTTTGTTTCTGTGTCTCAAACTGCCTACTTAATTTTCAATTGCATGCCATCAGTCAGCAGCAGCACTGGCCGGTAGTTTGTGGACAAATTCACAAAAGAGCGTGCTGGAAGAGGGTTATCAGTATAGGAAAGGTATCCACATAAGAGCTAGGTGAATTTGAAGCCTGCATCATTTCTTCCTCCCTGGGCATCAGATTTTTTTTTTTTCTTCTTCTCTGTCATCAGTGGGTTGTGCTGGCATTTAAAGTATTCTACAATGTGGCTTCCCACTGACCTTTACAAAATTATCACTTCATGCACTCTCCATTCCAGACAAACTGACCAGCTTAGTCTTCCTCATTCTACTTTTCCTGTCTTCCTTCCTTTACACAGGCAAACACTAAATCCTAAAAACCGAACCCTAAATCCTTCATGTCTTAAATAGACACTCCTCAGTTCTTAGAATCCTTTTTTTGTTGTTTTCGGTTGTTGTCTGACTCTCCATGACCCCATCTGGGGTTTTCTTGGCAAAGATGCGAGAGTGGTTTGCCATTTCCTTCATTTTGACAGATAAGGAAACTGAGGCAAACAGGGCTGTGTGCCCAAGGTCACACAGCCAGTAAATGTCTGAGGTTGGATTTGAACTCAGGAAGAACAGTCTTCCTGAGTCCAAGCCAGGCACTCTACCTACTTCGCCACCTAGCTGCCCTCTTAGAAGCCTTATTTTTCTTCAAATTACAATTCAGATGCTACATAATACACAGAGCTTTTCCTAACCTTTCAAGTTGTTAAATTCCTTTGGGTTAGGTGGTGCAACAGATAGAGCAACTGGGCCTAGAGTCAAGAAGAATTGAGGTCAAATCCAGCCTTGGACACTTACTAGGCTCGTGACCCTGGACCAGTCACTTAACCTTTGCCTGCCTCAAGTCTCCTTATCTGTAAAATGGAAATAATAATAACACCTACCTCCCAGGATGGGCGTGAAGATCAAATGGGATAATATTTCTGCAACACTGCTTAGCACAGTGTTGGCACACAGTAGGTGCTTAATAAATGCTTGTTTCTGTTATTTAGTGTATACACGTTATATTTACTTACTTGTATGTACATTATCTTATCTGTGAAAGGAGGGGGTTGAACTGGATGGTCTTCTCAAATCCCTTCTGGATGGGGAGAAAATTTGGAACTCAAAATCTTGTGGAAGTGAATGTTGAAAACTAAAAATAAATAAATTAATATAAACTTTTAAAAAAATCCATTAACATTTAAAGTTAAAAAAAATCCCATTTGGCTCTAAACCCGTGATCCAGTGCTGTGTGTTGTATACCACCCCCAACTTCCCCACTCCCCACTTCGCAAATGAAAATTCCTGGAGGGCAGGGACTGTCTGGTTTTTATCTTTGTATTCTAACTCCTAGCACACAGGATGTGTTTTAAAATGTTTGTTGAGTAGAACCAAATAGTGAAGATTTCTTTCTACTGCTTGGTGCCACTGTAGGAGTTTGTAATAGGCAACCAGATTAATGGCAGCTCATTGTACATATCCATCCCCTAGAATATGGAAATGAAAATTCAACTTTATTTCTGGCTTGGGCTAATAATCAAGTTGAAAGGGGAGGGGGGCCTCCGATGGAGAATCTGTGTAGTGTTTCAACATAGCCATTAGGTGGCAGTGTGACTCCATAGCAATATTTCATTTATTTTGAAAAGGATTGTGGATTTGCTCTAACCCCCTTGTTTTACAGATGTGGACATGCCCAAGGTCAGGCAGGCAGTAAGCGACAGGAGCTAGGTTGGGCATGTTCTTATGGCTACCAAGGAAGTCACAGGATCATTGAGCTAAAGTGTCTTCTGGAAGACCATCCCCAGCATGGACTCAAAAGATCATGAGATTTAGGGCTAGACGAGACCTCAGATATTATGTAGTCCAATCCTCTTAATTTACAGATGAAGAAACTCAGGTCTAGATGGGCAATCATTTGTCCAAGGTCACACAGAGAATGTGTGTAGCACAGCCCGGATTCAAACCCAGGGGGCCCTTTGACTGCAAACCCAGTATTTGCCCCAACACCAAGCTTCATTCTTTCTCTTTCAGGCTGAAAACACATCTTTCTGGCTCCCAAAGCCCTCCACAATCTGTCTCCAACTCTGCCTATTGAATTTTAATTCCTTCTCTTTCTTGCTTCTGACCTCCCATTATTTAACTTTTTTTCTAATCCAGGCATTCCCTCAGTCTCCCACACTTCTCAGGCATTCTTCCTCCCTTGTCTGCACCTTTGTTTCTCCTCACCCCAAAATGCCTTTCCTTCTCTCCTCTAACTGGTCATATCCCATCTATCCTTCAAAGACCAGTTCAAACCCTGTCTCTTTCAAGTAACCTTCCCTGGCCATGCCGCCCTCACTGTTCACACCCTAAATCTAGGATTCTATGAACACAAGTCACTGCTTGTTTGCATTCTGTCTAGTCTTCTTGCTTATCTTTTGCAGGGAATCATATTTTTTTTCCCTGTGAGATTGTCAGATTTGTGATGAGGAGGACCTTGTCTTCAGTCTTTTATGTCCCCTCAGAGTGCCTATATTATGCTGGGACCCCTGGTGGGTGCTCAATAACTACTTATTAGCTGGTTAAGAAAAAAAGAGGCAATCTGAATGGACAGAAAAGTGGAATGGATTTGGACATGTGAGTCCTAAAGTGCCTTCTGGGGATGCAGCTAGGTGACCCTTGGAGGTACTTCCAATTTCTCCTCTATTTAAGCCCCTTCCACCTCCCTCTATGTCTTGGTTTAACCATTCTATTGGACACTTCCAACCCTTGAGCATCTATATCCCAAGTCCATAAGCAGATGGGCTCAGCTGGAAAATGTAACCTAAGGAACTGTTAGGAAGCTCTCTGTAGTGGTTGCCAGTTCCAAAATATCCCAGAGAGATCAGGTTGGGTTTATTTCTGATCTCGCAATCAGTACGAGACAGGGTGGTGAAGTGGTAGGAACCTTAGACATGGAGTCCGATCTAGGCTCTTAGGTTTAACAGGTGTGTGACTTTGAATAAGCTATGTCATCTCTCCAAGTCTGTTACTCCATCTGAAAAACAGGCTTGGTAACACTTGGACCAAAAAGGTGGTATCAGTGAATAGAGAGCTGGTCTTAGAAAAGGAGTTCAAATGCTATCTCTTGGTCACCCAGAGCAAATCACTTCCCTGCTCAGTGCTGTCCACATCTGTTGAAGGAATGAAGGAAACTTTATTTAGTTTCTTAGCATTTACTAAGTGCCTGCTATGTGCCTGGCACTGTTAAGGACTTTACGAATATTATCTTATTTGAGCCACACAATACCCTTGGAAGCTATTATCATCCCCATTTACAGTGGAGGAAACTGAGGCAAACAGGGTTAAGTGACTTGCCCAAGGTCACACAGCGAGTAAGTATCTGAGGCAGAATTTGAAGTCAGCCTAGCCCTCTATTTACTCCAGTTTATAGTTTAGGATCATAAGTTACAGAACATTGGTAGCGGGAGTTTCCATACTTCATAGGAGTGAAACCACAGGTCTTGTCCAAAAGTGCTTGCTGTTTTGCCTCCGTCATAGAACCATTGTGAGGGAAGGACTCTACAATGTGCTGGGTAACTGTGAGCTATTAATAGTCTGATGCCTCATTGTGGTGCAGACATACTCCTGACCCTGGTTTTCAAAGACTGTGCTGTCAAACATTGGCAGGTCCCATCATACGGGAAAGGTTTCAAGCACAGGCCTGGGGGATCAGGGTTGTGCAGGGATTCTGCTAACTGATTTTTGGAGAGGCTCATCACCAAACTAGTTGCAGGGTGATGATTTTCCCACGTTTTATGAATAAACAAATGAATGGAGAAGAAAGCATTAAACCCTTTAAGTTGTTCAGTCATGTCTGCCTCTTCATGACCCCATTTGAAGTTTTCTTGGCAAAGATATTGGAGTGGTTTGCCATTTCCTTCTCTAGCTTATTTTACAGATGAGAAAACTGAGGCAAACAAGATTAAGAGACTTGCCCAGGGTCTCATAGCTAGTGTCTAGGCTGGATTTGAACTCAGGAGGATGAGTCCTGACTTCCTTCCCTGTACTCTATCCACCTCACCACCTAACTGCCTTAAACTTTTATTGTGTGCAAAGTATTCAGCTAAGTGCTGAGAATACAGATGATACAATAAGTTGGTCCCTGCTATCAGGGAGTTTTCATTCAGATAGGGGAAGACTAAACATACTGAGGGTTTCAGCTACAAGAGAGATGGCTCGGACAATTGACTTTAGGGTACATCCCCAAAACAGATGGCAATGCCTCTTCTTTAATGAATGACATTTCTGCTGATAAAATCCTATAATTTTCTTGTGGCAAGAATTTTCTTTTCTGGGTCCTCAGTAGCTGTGATTGCCATACCCACAGATGCAGTTGCTAGGCCACATCTCCATTAGGTTTGTACTCTCAAGGTGGTGGCTGTGATGGCTGGGCTGGAAGCAGGACCAGTGGCTGTGAGTGGAGGGCTTAGGGGTAGAAAGGAGGAATGATGCTACTCCCCAGAGCCCTTGGGCTCACGTGCCTGATGCTGATAAGTGGTCCTCAGTGAATTGCTCCCTCCAATGCAGGGTCTGGTCAAGAAGTAGAATGAGGTGTCAGGAAGGCATTCCTGTTCCTGAGGTTCTGAAATTCAGGGTCCTGCACTGTCTGTAGCTTCATTTCCTGGTTGTGGTTTGGTGGTGTTGACTCACCTGGTAACTTGCCTCCGGTCTGTCCTTCAGAGTGCTTTGCTGGTTCACATGGTTTGGTCATTCATTCATGGGCTCTGTTTCTGTCTGCAGATGCTTCAGGATTGCCCCAAGGCCCGAAGGGAGGTGGATTTGCATTGGAGAGCCTCTCAGTGCCCACACATTGTCAAGATTGTGGATGTCTATGAGAACCTGTATGCTGGAAGGAAGTGTCTCCTGATTATCATGGAATGGTGAAAGACTCTTCTTGCACACCCTTCCTTCTTCCTCCCCCTCAAAACCCTCATTCCCTGCTCATCCCTTTATCTCAGCCTCCTACTCCTTCCAGCTCCACTCCCTACTCAACCCTTCTGCCTCCCTGTTCCTCTCCAACATTTCCTTCAGCCCCATTCAATCCAGTTATCCAGCATTTAGTTCATTCTTATAGCAATCTTGGCAGTAACAGGGAAATCTTCACATGTAAATGATTGATTTTTTTGTTGTCGTTGAAGGATGGCGCATGATGAGATAGGTGGGAGATAGCTAGAGGCTCCATTTTCAAAAACCCATTGCTTGTCTTTTGGCTTTTATTTCAGCATGGATGGTGGAGAGCTCTTCAGCCGCATCCAAGACCGGGGAGACCAGGCCTTCACTGAGAGAGGTAAGCAAGCCCTCTTGGGAGAGGCAGAAAGGTCTGAGTAAGTTCCCTAGAAACTATGATTGCCATAGGAGACTCTCTGTAGTAGGGTTAAGGGTCTACTCTAATAGCTGTCGCTGCCCTCTCCCCCATTCTGGAATTCTGCCAGGCTGAGTAATTCCAGACTGGGGTCATGACTGACCTTGCTGACATCATTCTTGGGCATTGTTCTTAAACTTGCTTGTGTCATGATGTCTTTGGCAGTCTAGTATGGCTTATGGATCCCTTCTCAGAATAATGTTTTTAAATGCACAGAGTAAAATGCCTAAGATTACAAAAAAAGCCAAAAGTTAATGAAAATAAAGAAGTAATGTTTTTCCTATGAAATTTTGGCATGGACACCTTGGAGGAGGGGTGTCTGTGGATCCCAAGTTAAGAACTGCTGTTCTAGGGATGGCATCATTAGAATGTAAGTTCCTTCAATGCAGATACTGTTTGTTTCTTTGTGCCCTAGTGCTGGAGATCGTTGTGGGTTGATTGATGCTGTCTAAGGGCTCACACCTGTGAGGCTCAAGGCTTCCAACACTGAGCACCATTCTACTCTATTGCAGTTCCATATTGAGGTTAGGGCCCCTCAGTAAGGAGTTGGAGTTGTGTTAGAATTGCTTCAAGCTTCGAGGCTCAACTTCAAGACCTTCTTTCTTATGTCTTCCCCCAGAGGCTTCTGACATCATGAAGAGCATTGGTGAAGCAATTCAGTACTTACACTCAATCAACATTGCGCACAGGGATGTCAAGGTAATTGCTGCGCACCCCTCCCCTCCCCCATCTGGAGGCTCTGGAATGATACTAGCAAGGGTTGGCAGTGATATAGTAGGGGTATTTAAATCTTGGCTTTGTCAATCCCTGTGCGTCCTTGGACAAGTCACCTAACTATTGTGAGCCTTAGGTTCTCCTTCCAGAAAGTATGGATAACGCCTGTTAATATCAACTCCCAGGTTGTTATGGGGCTAAAATGAGATAATTTATGTTAAGTGCTTTGCAGACTTTTAACCCTTATATGTAACATTGATTATCATTCTTTGCGCCTCAGTTTCTACAAAATGGGGACAAAAATATCTGTAAAATCACAGGGTTGTTATGAGGATCAAGCAAACTATTGTATGTCAATTACTTTGTAAACTGTAAACTGTTAATTGTCAGCTCATTTATCCTGGATGAATATCCACAATGATGATGAGAACTCTGGTTCATTTCCCTACACCAACTCCCGTAGGCTGAGACAGCCTCTCCCTGACTTTGGTCGTTGCTGACTCTGAGCATGGCCAGGTCCACACTGACTTCATCAGATTTGGGTTATGACCTTTTGCTTGCTGGATTTTGGAGAAGAATTTGCCTGCACTTCCTTTCCCTTCTTCTCTTTGCCTATCCAGACCAGCCCAGCCTCCCCCATGAAGTCTTCCCTTCCCCTTCCAGCCCACAGGAATATCTCCTTCATTGTACTTCTGCAGCCAGGAAAGCTGTTAATTATCTTGTCTTATATTGTTTTCTCACAGCTGTTTTGTGTACCTTCTCTCCCTAACTTTGCCTAATAAGCTCCTTCTGTTTGAAGACTGCATATGCTTCTGTATTCTCCTCAGCATCTAGAAGAGTTCTAAGATTTTAAGATGCATTCAGTACTTGTTGATTGATTGAGTGAATGAATAAGTGAGTGAGTGAAGCTTCAGCGCATCCCCATTAGTTTTGGAATACAGGGAAAACTCCTGTTTACTGTTTAAAACCCTTCACAATCTGGCTCTAGCCAACCTTTCCAGATTTATTGCATTTTGCTTCCTTTCACTTGCTCTCCAGTCTAGCCAACTTGGCCTAAATAGGCCAAACAATAAATACTGTTTTCTGTATATAACATTCCAACTTCTGTTTTTCTGCTAGTGCACAGGCTGTTCCCCTTGCCAAATGTACTCCCTCCATGACCTAGGGAGCTTTGACACCATCTCTACCTTCCTTCATAGCTCAGCTCAGGTGCTACCTCTTACATGAGGTCATTCTTGATTTCCTGGTCACCACCCCCTCCCCTCTTTCTATCGTGTCCCCAGTACCTAACACACACACACACACACACACACACACACACAGTGCCTGAGGTATAGCAGACCCTTAATATATGTTTTTTGAATGGATGAATTGGCTGTCCTCATGGCTCCTAGTTTTGGTCCCACAGGCTCAGTGAAGCCTTTACTTCTCTTTCTCTTTTTTGTTTCTGTGCAGCCTGAGAATCTCTTATACTCCTCCAAACGGCCCAATGCCATCCTGAAGCTCACTGACTTTGGCTTTGCCAAGGAAACCACCAGCCATAATTCCCTCACTACCCCTTGCTACACACCGTACTATGTGGGTAAGTTCTAAGAGTAGATGCAGAGGGTTCACGCTTCCCCTATCTCTTCCCTTCTTCAATGAGCTCCGGTCGCCAACAACCCAAAGAAAGTTATGCATTTTGAGCCTCAGTCCGAGGTGGGTTTTGATAAATAGTCATGACCAGAAGCAAGGGCGTGGTTAAAATGGCCTACTAAGGTTTACAGTTTCCATATTTTTATAGTCTTGGGACCTTGGACAGGTCATCTCATCCCTAGGAGCCTCAGTCTTCCACATCCTTGAAATGATAGGGTTGAACTAGATGATGTGTAAGGTCCCTTTCCACCTCTAAATTCTAGAACCAAATGATTGATGGTTGTAGCATTTGAGTATCTGTGGAGAATGGTAGATGTTTCTTCTCCTTCCAGGAGAAAGGAAGGTCTACAGCCTTCTCCATTTGGGTTTTCCCAAATGGGTCTCTTCCGTGGTGCTGGGGATGGATATAGCGGTATACCCAGGAGAATGAATCAGTGCTGAGGCACTGATGAGGACCTCTCTCATGCTTCTGGGAGTATATTCCAATCCCAGTAATCTCTTCTCCTTTACAGCTCCAGAGGTCCTGGGCCCCGAGAAATATGATAAATCCTGTGACATGTGGTCTTTGGGTGTCATCATGTATATCCTGTGAGTGCTATGGGAAAGGGGTGGGCAGGCACTGTTCTCTCATAGGCCAGAGCTTGGATGAGCAATGTGTGGTGCGGTGGGAGGATGCTACCATTATTTTTCTGGTTAGATGTGGATTTCTGTGGGAGATCTTTACAAATAATCTGTTCTCTCTTCTCTACCCCTATCCTTGAAGCTGAAAAGGAGGTGGGAACTGTCCACATGGGCAGGTACTTGGTGCACAGGATTCCTGATTACTATTCTTGCATTGCTTTTTACCGTGGGACCAAATTACTGAGATCCCCTTTCTTCTATCAGTGGGACAAAGGAAGAAGCAGACTTTCCCCCTTTTTCCATGTATATGTTTCTCAAATAATGCCTCTCATCTTTCCCTCCTTTTCCTCTTCTTTTCTCTGGGTCTAGACTGTGTGGTTACCCTCCATTCTATTCCAACCATGGCCTTGCCATCTCTCCTGGCATGAAGACTCGAATCCGAATGGGCCAGTATGAGTTTCCCAATCCAGAGTGGTCAGAGGTATCAGAGGAAGGTAAGAGACCTCAGCTTTCTAGGGCACATAAAATACACCCATGTGGCTATTTTTATTCATCTGTGGATGTATAAAGCCATGTATTTTGGGACAGAGAGAGAGAGAGAGAGAGAATGAGAATTGTGTGAAGGAATTTGGGAGAATGCCTGATTAGGTTATCAGGGCTTGTGGGGACTTTGAAAAGCTTAGTTGTGGTCAACCCTTAGTGCTCTCTCCATTGGGGAATCTTATCTCAAATGAGAACCTGTTCTCTCTTTTAGAGCTATAGGTAGTTGGTGGTGGGGGTGGGGAAGCATGGAGCTTGAATTCTGAAATCAACTTCTTTTTCCTCTTGTGCAGTCAAAATGCTTATCCGGAATCTACTCAAGACAGAACCAACTCAAAGAATGACCATCACTGAGTTTATGAATCATCCTTGGATTATGGTGAGATGGGTCTGCTGGGAGGACCCCTACCAAACCCAGGAGTACCCCCCCCTAGGAATGGGGAGAGCAGGAGTCAACTCCTGTCCAGGGGAATCTTTCTGACTTTGGTCTGATCCTAAATCTCCTTTTCTCTCCTCCAAGCAATCAATGCAGGTCCCTCAGACTCCACTGCACACCAGCAGAGTCCTGAAGGAAGACAAGGAGAGGTGGGAGGATGTGAAGGTAAGGGAAAGGCATTGCTTTGGAGTTGGAGTGGAGATGAAAGAGTGGGTGCTGGCTCCTGGATGGAATAAGCATTTATGTAGCACCTCCTGTGTGCCAGGCAATGTACTAATTGCTTCACAAATATCTCATTTGATAATAAAGGAGGGGAGAGGGAGGATGCTATAGAATCTGGTGTCATTGGTCTTTTGTGGTCTCAGGGCATTCATGTCAAAGAAATAAAACTCCTGGTCACCCCTAGACAAACCCCAGTCTGCACTGTGGGATAAGGATTCAGTTTTCTCAGTTTGTGTTGCTACCCCCCACCACGATGAATCATCACTTTATTTAGTGTCATAAAATGTTGGAGTTGGAGGAGACCTTATAGATCATCTAAGGACAGATAAGCAAACTGAGGCTAAAATTACACATAAGTGTCAGAGGCTAGACTCGAACCCAAATCTGGCTGTGCCTTATATCTGGGCAGTCAGTCGATAAGCATTTATTAAAAACCTGCTGTATGCCAGATATCCAATTAAGAGCTGGAGATACAAAGAAAGGCAAAATACAGTCCCTGCCTTTGAGGAACTCAAGCTAATGGGGAGACAAAATGGAAACAATCATCTGCAAACAAACTATAGACATGTGAAATGGGAAACGATCAACAGAGAGAAGGCATGAGAATTAAGTGTGATTGGGAAAGGCTTCCTGGGCACTTAAGAAATGTTTGTTGAATTGGGTTATTGGACCTCCTCCAGTCTTTCTGCTGTACTTGCTGTCCTTTCTTCTGGGGTCTTGGGAGAGTTGCCTGAAATAGTGATGGTGTCCACGTGAAGCTAGTGGTCCATCCCTAATATGGAGGTGCTATTAGCCAAACCCAATGTTCTGACTGTTCTATGTCCTCTTACCTTTTTTCTTTTCTTTTCATTTTTTTTTAAACGTTCTGCTCCCTCTTCTTGTACCTTTGTGCTTCACTTGGGTCTTCCCTTCTCATTCTTTCCCCATCTGGTCTCATTTCTTCCTCTCCTTCTATTCACCCTTGCTGTTCTCCTCCTCAGGAAGAGATGACCAGTGCCTTGGCCACCATGCGTGTTGACTATGAGCAAATCAAGATTAAGAAGATTGAGGATGCCACCAACCCTCTGCTCCTAAAGAGGCGGAAGAAAGCCCGGGCTTTGGAGGCAGCTGCCCTCGCTCACTGAGCCACCCTCAGCACTCCTCCCGCCCTGATGGAGGGAAAGCAATAACTCTCTAAGTCTATTTTTTAAAAGCAGAGACACAGACCTGTCCTCCCCCAGCTCCTACTTGCATGGAGCCCAGAAACTTGTCAGCAGATGAATTCTGGTCCTTTAACTGCCACCTTCCCTGGAGCTCCTGGACCTGACCCTTGGGAGGTTGGGAGGTGAGGACAAGGGGGCAAGTTGCTCTCAAGATCTTCCTCATTGTGCAGTTTTTCTTGGCTGATTTGGCCTTGAATTTTTATAAAATTTCTATTTTTTTCTCCTCCTTTCCCTGTTTTCCCTCCCAAGTCACAGGATGATTTTTTTAAAAAGGTATTTTGGGGAGCCGCTACAGGGAGGTGACTCAGTGTTTGTTACCTTGTTCCCTCTGCCTTCCCCTCACCCCAGTCTGAGGCTTCAATAGACTTGGGGGCCAAGTGGCTGGGAGGCTGAGCCCTGTGGAGGACAGGGCCTTTTTGGTATGGGATCCAGGGGACTTGGCCTCAGGGGGCTCCCCCTGCCTTAACTCAGAGGCCTTGGACAGCTGGAGCTGTGGCCAGGGGGTAGGCATACAGGGCTGGATGTGTGACTGTGTGGACAAGGGGTTATGAATCAGTGTGCAGAAACAGTGTGTTTGTGGTGGGTAGGGGACCCTGAGGCTACTCAGAGGGGCTTTCCTGTTTGGATCTGACACAGCCCAGGGAAAGGTCCACATATCCATCTGTATGGGAAGCTGGCTAAGACTGAAACTGGCTCATGGTCTTTCTCTCTAATAGGCAGAGCTCTGAGGGCAGGGAAAGGACTTCCCTGACATTGGCACTGAGATAAAAGGGACAGGGGCCTTCCTGTTCCTCCTCCTCCCTCCAAATCTAGTATTTAGTGTAGAATTTCAGTCCTCCCTCCCTTCCTCCTCAGTGAATGGGAAGGCAGTACTATCTTGTGGAGGAAGGAGTGGTCCTAGGATTCAGAATGATCCCTCTTTTCCCACTTTCCCTGAACACTATGTGTTTGGGAAAAAAAACTTCCCTCCCCTTTCCTAACCAGAGGTATATAGGGCCAGGGAGTGGGGAGGATAGTGTCCAGGGCCCTGTTTGTTTTGTTGGTTTTTTTTTTTTTGCCCCCCTCCCCCCACCCCCCCCCCCCCCGCTCTCTTGTCCAAATCTGGAGCCAGTCTGAGCCCACAATATCTGCTACCTTAAGCTGGGAGCAGACAGAGAGCCCCACTCCAGAAGATGAGTGGGAGATAAGGTCCTTTGGGCCTCTGTGGCAAGGGCCATCCAACTTATCCCATTTGCCTCTCTCTTATTTTAAAACTCTCCTGGTTTTATATTTCCTGGATTTTAGCCTTTTTTTGTTGTTGTTCTTGGGCCGCCTTTTAACCTCCCACCCTGTCTGGGGATGAGCCTGGGCTATTTGTTGCGACCATAAAGATTTTATGTTTTGCTTGGCCCTTCCTCCAGCTGTGGAACCCCCTTGCCTTTTCCCCTTCCCTAGGCTTACTTCCTCTGGGTTCTCCTTCCTGTCCTTCCTTTGAGTGACCTGGAGTGACCTGGAAGACAGAGAGGAAGCCTTCTCACCAAAGATGCCCCACCTCTACCCACTTCTTCACTGATGGCTCTCTTAGCCCCTCCATAACTTCTCCAGCTGGCCAGTGGGGGTGGAGAGACACCTCCTCCCCCTTCTTCCCAGTATTAAGTAGGAGTGGAATTGGAGGAACCCCATGTTCTGGTGTCTTAGGCCTTCTTTCCCCCACCGGTGCAGTGGAGGGGGCAGAGGGGAAGGAGCTGGGAGTAGCTCTTCGGTTCTTCATCTCCCTCAGGGGCATATGGGGGAGGAGCATTGGGGGATTGGGTTGAATGTCTACCATGCTTCCTGACCTCCCGTCCCCTCCCACAAAATGGTATGTCTGGCCCTCGGATTATTGTTAACTTGTTGTTTTGTATGATCAAAACTGTCTTTACTAAACAGATTTAATAGTTGAAAGTTTTTCATCTTTCTCTACCTCCATTGCGTTTTCTCCCAGTTCCTCATACATCTCCGACTGGTACAACATCTTTCTCCCTCCCTTCCAAATCCAGCATTTAGGGGATTGTAGGAGAGGGTGAGTTGAATCTGTGGTTTAGGGAAATCTATTTTACAAGGGTCTTTGGGGGGAGGGGTGTGGAATGGGAAAGGAAGCAGCCATTAGGGCAATGGGGAATCCTCAGTAATGAGCTCTTACTTAATTTGATCAGATAAGTTGTGGAGACCCCAGGTGGACACCAAGCCTGGAGCCCATAGTGCATGTTTAATGAGATGTGGTTGTCCTCTGGGTTTGGTGAGAGGAGGGTCAGTGGCTGGTAGAGTTGTATTTGTGAACCCATGCCACCCTCCATATGATGAAAAAGATGCTGGGGAATGGAAGCCAGCTTCACCAAGCACAATTTCCTTTTGTGGGGAACAAAGCAGGGGCAGGATCCCTTACTACCTTTGCCATTGGACCCTAGCATTCTTTTAAATGGCTTCCATTTTCGAAGAAGGTAACCTTCTAAGCCAGGTAGGTGGGGGGAAAGCTGCCATGTTAGCACAAGTGTCCTTTATTGAGAGAGTAGATGGAGATGGAGAGCTGCCACTCTGGTTGGGAAATGATATGGACTGGGAGTGTAGTAACAAGACAGTCCAGCAGAGGGAGGTGGGAATTCAGCATTCACGCCACCAGCAATTAAACAAATTTATTGTATACATGTAATGTGTATAGAGCCAGAAGAATTAGAAAGTTTAGATAAGATAGGACACCTGTCCTCATGAGGCTAGTAACATCTCACAACGAAATCATAATCACTCATTTCTATAATGTCTTACAAAGTACTTTATTTCCAATGACCCAATGACGTAGGTGTGGCAGGAATATGGCACATGTAAGAATAACTACTAATGATCAGTGCATCAGAGAGATACAAATGAACCATCTTGTGAGGTTGGAGAGCTACATTTGGGGATGGGTTATAGGGAAGGTCATTACTAATTCAGAGATTTGGGAAGCCTTCCTAGAGGGGTGGCAAATGAGATGGACTTAAAATGATAATGTATAGATCATCTAGTCCACTCTGACCTCTCCTTCCTCCCAGTTTTTTCAAATGAGGAAACCGAGGCTCAGAGGAATTAGCTGATTAGTCATGGTCGTACAAGTAAGCAGCTTCTGAACCAGGATTTGAACCCATCTCCCGACAACAAATACAGCTCTTCTTTTACTGGACCCCACTGCATCTGATGGGTCAAGATTAAATTGGTAGACTGAGGCCCAGAGAACTATGAGGCATGGAGATGGGGTGATATAAAATGTGTTCAGATAGACTGTTTCAGAGAGGCATAGGAGCAGTGGAGGTGAATTTAGGCTGAAAAGGTAGGTTAGCAACAGATTGTGTAGCCTTGAATACCAAGCAAAGCAAATATATACATAAAAACTACTCTGTACTACCATGTGGCATAATGGGTGACACCATAGTGCATAGAACTGTGGGCCTGGGATTGGGAAGCCCTGAGTTCAAATCTAACCATAGACACTTCTTAGCTGTGTGACTCTTGGCAAGTCACTTAACCTCTGTTTGTGCTCACCCCAGCAAGGCTGTCTTTTTACTCCTTTCTAATTCATTCTTTTTCCCACTCCGTAAAGAAACTGTTCAAACTTCTCAACTCTCCCACCATCTTCTCCCCTCATCCTTTAAGCTGAATCATACTTGATTGAGAAATTAGAGACCATTCACTGTGAGCCTCTTTTCTCCCCCCTGCCTTTTTCCTATCTACTGATTTCCCCCTATCTATTGATTCCTGTGCTTGTCTCCCCTATCCTGGGAAAAAACTTCAGGAGGTCCTACTGGCTCTCAAGCTATCATCCTATAGCTCTCCTCTCTTTTATAGCCAAACTCCTAAAAAAAAAAGACAAAAAAAAGCCCCTGTCTACAGCTGTTGTTGTCTTCACTTCCTGTATCACTCTTCTTCAACCCTTTGTCATTGCTGTCTGGCTTCCAATCTCATCCCTCAACTGAAACTCCTCTCTCCAAAGTTACCTATGTGCTCTTTTTTGTCAGGTTGGAGGATCTTGTCTTCATACTTTTTCTTCTCAACATCTCTCTGTAGCATTGGTCAGTCCTGCACACTCTTCATGGGTTTTCATGATATTGCTTTCTCTTGGTTTTCTTACCTGGGGGACAAGTGAGAATAGGTCCTCAGTCTCCTTTGATGATTCATCAGCCATATCATGCTCGTTGAGAAAAGCAGTTAGTGTGAAGAAGATCTTGGGGTTTTAGTGGATTGTGGCTCCAACCGAGTGGGCAGTGTGATGTGGCAGCCAAAAAAAGCTAATACTATCCTAGACTCCATTTAGACTGGCATAGAGTGGTCCTGGGCTCTGTCCTGTCTCTGTGCTTGCTCAGTGGCCTTACCAAGAGGCTCTCTCCTGAGTTTATTGTATATCTCCAAATGCCTTTTGAATATTTCAAACTGACATGCCTCTAGGCATCTCAAATTCAACATGTCTAAAACTGACCTCCGTTTCACTCCCCTTCAACCAGTGCTCACTATTTCTGTTGAGGACACCACCATCCTTCAGTTACTGAGGATTTCAACATGGGTGTTATCCTCAACACCTCACACTTCCTCACCCCACATAACCAATCAGTTGCCAAATCTTGTTATTTCTTACTCAACATGTCCACTCCCTTCTTTCTGCTCACACAATAGTTGCCTTACTTTGGGTCCTCGTCACCTTTTACCTGCATTATTGCCATTGCCTTCTGATTGACCTCCCTGATCCAATCCTTCCTCACTCCAATCTATCCTCCATTTAGCTACCAAAATGATTTTCAGAAAGTAAAGGTCACTTCCCCTGCTCAATAAACTGCACGGGCTCCCTTTTGCTTCTAGGATCACATACAGGCTCCTCTGTTTGGCTTTCAAAGCCTTTCGCAATCTGGCATTAACTTACTTCTCCAGCTTGATTATATATTACTCTTCTTCCTGCACTGTCTGGCTCAATCAAATTGACCTTGCTGTTCTTCAATATAACAGCTTATTACCCAGGCTCCCACTGGTAGTTCCTCCTACCTGGAATGTTCTCCCTCCTCATCTCTGTCGCTTAGAATCCCTTGTTTCCCTCAAAACATTGTTTTGGCTCCTTCTATATGAAGCATTTCCTGATCCCCACCCTTCAGCTACCCCCACTAATTTACCTGATCAGTTATTTTGTCTACATTTAGCAATCAGGGAGTTCAAGGCTTCCTCCTGGCTGTGTGTGACCCTGAAAAGCTCACTTACCCTTTCAGTGTTCTAGGTAACTCTCAAAAACTAAAAGCCATAGAAAAAGCACCACCCTGCACTGGGAGCAGGACTTTCCTCATTCAGGGAGTTTCCTCTACCAATGAAGTCAGAAGCTCAGTGCCCGTCCCTTGTGCATGCTTAGTTTCTGTATGTCTTAATTCTTTAGTAGAACGGAAACTTTGTGAGGGCAGAGGGTTTCCTTCTGCCTTTGCATCCTGGGCTCCTAGCGTAGGGAAGTGATTAGCACCTAATTTGCACTTAATAAATGCCTATGGGTTTCTTGTTTCAAGATATACCAAGAAGAGTAAGATATGATCCCGCTTATAGCTGCAGAAGCTGAAACATACACCATTGTAGTACAGAAGAGGTCTAAAATGCCATGGAAATGCAGAAAGCTGACTTCTCCTTGGAGGAGGAGGGAGGAAACGCTTCATGGAGGTGGTGGCATTTGAGCTGGACCTTGCTGTTGTTCAGTTGTTTTCAGTCATGTCAGACTTTTCGTGATCCCACCTGGGGTTTTCGTGGCAAAGATATTGGAGTGTTTTGGCATTTCCTTCTCCAGGGTGTCTCCATTTTACAGATGAAGAACTGGGGCAAATAGAGGTTAAGTGACTTCCCCAGGGTAACACAGCTAATAAATGTCTGAAGTCAGATTTGAACGCAAGTCTTCCCGACTCCATGGCCAGTGCTCTATCCTTTGCACCACTTTGTGGCCTTAAATGGTCT